GGCACAGCAGGCTCTCTGCTGCTGAGAGCCTCCCAGAAGCTTTTCCAAAGGGAAAGAAAGGCAAATTCTGAGTTACTGGTGCATGATGTTCAATAAAGTCCTGTTCCAGGCTTCTCTCCAGCCCAGCTGTAATTGGCCTGGGAATAGAATGGAATGCAGCATTTGGTGACTGCATATGGGTAGCAGTGCTTCATGGGGTTTTCTGAAGCTTTAATTTGAATTATTCAGCTAGTTTTGTACTGATCAAATAAGTGGTTTGGGACAAGTTGGGCTTAAATTTCTATAAAGCCATTTGGTGCATACTTGTTCCTCACATTCCATGTCTATGGATCTAAGGTGGTTTTTGTTTGTGTGCATTTATTATGGTGCTCTGAAAAATGTAGCTGAATTTATTACAGACTTTCTACTGACGTTTGTGAATTTACACACCTCCACTTTGGTTCAATCAGATGCATAGAAACAATAAGTCAAATGTGCACATAAAAAGCCCAAATACCCCACATCATCATGAAAGGAATTCATTCCTTTACAAAGTCAAACAAAAATTATTTGAGGCATAAAAGAAAAAATCCTGGGATGGAATGTGGGATGTGAGTTTTTTTCTGGTTTACTTGAATTTAACACCTTGTAGCTTGTGGAGTTTTACAAAGATTTCTCCATTCCTGTTCTCTCCTTTTCACTCTGTAAGCCATTGGTATGGCACACTGGGTATTTTGACAGACATACTTTGGTAGTCATTGGTAAAGTAAACTTATCTTCTAGGTCTAAGCAGTGAAAGTTTGGTTATATGTCAAGGCTCATATTGTTGGTTTGTGTACATCAGAATTTCCTTATGGAAATTACTGGAGTTGCACAGGAATCCAGACCATCAGCGAGTCCTGGCTTCTCCTTTGGATGTTTCAGCCTGTTAAATTCTTTTAAGCAATCCCTAGTTTGTAGTCTCTGCTCAGCAAAGATTGAAGCTTCACTCTGCAAACTCCAGGGAGCCAAAAGCACTTTTTTAACGATTCCTGCTTCTTTCCTTGCCAGCTCTGACCGAAGGTTACGTGGGCTCTCTGCATGAGAACAGACATGGGAGTTCTGTGCAGATCCGCAGGAGAAAGGCTTCAGGGGATCCTTACTGGGCGTACTCGGGTGAGTGACTTGTCTTCTTCAGAGCACTAAAACATGAAATGTCTCCACAATCAAATTGTTTACTTGCTTTTTATTACTACTGTGCTCAGTTTAAATTAGTTTTACAGTGTATTTTCTTTCTTCTGCCTTCCTTGCAAATTCCCCCTGTACACAGGCCTGCCTTTCTTGCATTTCTGCCATTTACGTTATTATTCTCCTCCTTCTTTCAGTCTTGTTTTCATCTCTTGACATGCCCTTGGTCAGGCATACTCCCAAACTTTTCTTTGCTCTTTTGGTCTAATCACTGCATTCCCAAGTTTACCATCTGCTTACCATTTTGGGCCTTCTAGGAAGACTGTAAGCACATATTCAGAGTAAAAAAACCAACACAATTTTTACATTTGTTTCTATGCCTGTATTTTTGTGGTAGTGTATAATGACAACAATGAGACTTGTCAGCGTATCGAGCCAGGATGTGTATGGTGCTGGAAAGATGAAATACTGGAAGGGTATTTTATTGTTTGTCCCACTGCTTTCATAAAGTCTTATGGAAGAGCTCATGTACCTGCACAATTTTGAAATACCACAAATTAAAATACACTTCAGTCTTTGATTTGGTGGTTGCTATGTTCTAGGAATGGTGCCAATAGTGATGTTGACTCTGTGGAAGATATCCAGTATCTAAAACGTTTTTATGAAGATTTTAAGCATTATATTGGACTTGTGTGTGCTTTTCTGGAAGATCTGAGATATGTTTCAGACATTACTTGCTTGTCCAAGAGGGTTGTTGTACAGGGCTAGTTTTAGCTGAAGGAAAATCATTACTTTCTAAGAGGTCTGAATGCTGATATAAATATGCAACTGTTACTTTTTGACTGCCAACACCCCTCTTTTATCCAGAACACTTATTTCATTGGGAATGAATGATAATCGGTAAGTGTAGAGGTTTTTACCATCAACATATACAAATTATCTCTATTAGATCTCAAAATACAATCTATCTCATTTGCAAATGGGGTCAGGCAAGTAAAATAAATCTAAACATTTCAGTAATGTAGGACAAATGACCACTTTTGATTTTCAGCCGGTTCAGCATCTCTTATCTAATGCCATTTTGTTCATTCTTGCTCACTGAAGGGACCATAGGTAATGAAAAAGATGAGCTTCTGTGTTTAGGTTGAAAGTGGGAATAAATGGTGGGTGGCAGAGCCCAGATACCAGACAGATGTTTGTTTCTCTAGCTGAGCACAGTGAGGAGGATGATCATGTTATCTGTTTCTTTCTCCTTGCTTCTTCATTCCCCAGAATATTTCCCAGGAACGCTGAGCAGGGCTTGGCTAAGCTCTTCATGTACTAACGTTTGTCCTGTGGGTAGGGTTTTGGACATGCCTAGGAAGTTTACATCAAATGAGCCTACAGAGAGGGGAAACTTCACTCTGCAGTAAACAATTAGCCTGTGTCAGTGGTTTCCAAGCTCTTTCACAGACATTATCTGGTAGGCTGCTTCCCTTCCCAATCCTCAGATGGTCAGGCTAGCTCCCCTCCAGTTATTTGTACAACAGCTGCTGGCCCAGCCCCAGCAATTATGGGCAGGGAAGGAGGCTCTGCTGGGCTGAGGGCTGGTGAGTCTGGAGGTTCTTCCAAGGGACTTTGCCAACAGGAGTAAACAAGACCAGGATAGCCCCTGACAGCCGTCAGTGGGCAGCTTCTGCTGAGCCCCAGCATAGACCATGTGTGTTAGGCTGATCCATGGCTTTGTATTGATTTCAGTTGAGTAGAGCTGATTTACAGCAGCATAGGCCTCTCTCTTTTTATGGCTGTGCCTGCCTGCTTGCAGAGCTTTTGTATTTTTAGGCTTAAGATTTCTATAATAAATCCGGAGTTGAGGGTGGAGAGGTCCAAAAGCAGGCGGCCAGTTGTGTTTTTCCTGCATGGGGGTGGAAAAAGGGCACAGCCATGTTGCAAAGAGCCCTCAAATATCCATCTTCCACAGGCTATATCTGTCCTATGCTGTGATTTTAGAGTAATTCCTCAGTAGCCTGTAGGAAACCCTTCTGCTGCTCAGAGGGTGAATGGTCTAGGGGCTGGTGTAAGCTCTGGAGATCAGGAATTTTTCCTGGTTTTATGAGTGATTTGTAGCATTACCCTGTGCTGCCTGGTCATATTGATCCTCTCAGGCACAAGAGTTTAGAGAGGAGAAACTTCATTCATTGATCAGGTGTTGAACACCCTAAGACCTGTAACATTTGTGTGAGGTACCCACATCCCTAAAGGTACCTGCGAGCTCCAGTGCCTTGTGCACAGAGCTGCACCACACTTCTCCTTCCACTGGAAAGGAAAGGATTTTAAACCTTGTAAAATAACCCTGTTGTCTACAGACACAAATTCCGACTATAACATTTATTCGAGTTCAGAAATAAAACTTGCAAAAGTAAAGACTAGATAATTAAATGAAGAAGGCCCATTTTGAATGGGTTCTGTCAAAAAGACAGCAGGAAACACAATCAGCCCTTTGGAAGAAACTTCATTATGTCTCTGCTAGCAGCTCTTTAAACCAAATTCAAAAGTGAGCAAACGCTGAAAACATAAGACTAGCTTGTCTTTAAATAGGAACAGCAAAACTGAACAGAGACTGACATCTCCTAGTTGTTCTTTTTAGGATTTTTAAGAAGCTCAAATGACAGTTCTAGGGGGAATTCTCTGCACGTGTGTATTCATGGATGTTTTGGCAAAGTATTTACGGTGTTATTTATAGTGTTATTTTCAGTATTGACACAATTGTGTGTTAGTGTTTGCCAAAGACCTCCTAAATTGGGACTGGCCACATCACTTGTAGTGGAACAGAAATGTGGAATAGGCACAGCACAGTCACAAGAAGCAGGTGTGGATCCTGAATGTGTTTCACTTCAGTCTTTACTTTTCCTCATCTTTTCTGTTAGGCTGACCACTGAATGGACAGGTTTGAAATTATTTTTAGCACACCTTTATAATTGCCACAGAACTCAGTATGTTTCTACTACCCATCATAGTGACAGTTAGTAGTAATTCCAGTGCTTTTTCATTGGTGTGGACGTATTTTTGTAAATATGTAAACTGGTTTTTAAACAAAAACCAAACCAATACTTGAAACAAAAGCCTACAGAAATATTCAACTGAAACATCTGCTGGATCCAGGGCTTTCTGACTGACCCTCCCTTGTATAATGTATGCTTCTTCACAGAGCATAATATTCCAGGCCTTTAAAGATGCCTCTCAGTGTTGAGTGTTGCATCTGTCAGTGCTCAGAACACTGCTGGTAATCTGAGCAGAGCCTAATTTGCCTTGCTGTAGCCCAAAAATGAGCAGCTTCAGAGTCAGGGCCTTAGGAGGAGATCACAGTGTGAGATGCTGATGCAGATGGTTGTACCTTAAGTGATGGTAGCTCTAGAGGACCTGTGTCTACTCATACTTGTTCTTTTGAGAAGCTGTTGTGTAAAATTAATATGACAATCATTGCACAAGATTGGGGAAAACCAGAAGTAGTAAGGGGCTTACCCAAATCAGGAAACTCCTTTTTGAGTCTTCAGGTAAAAGATGTGATGTCTTCTTGGGGTCTGGGGTGTCAGGATGACCCCAAGAGTGTAGAAGTCCTTGTTTCCTAGCCTGTGCAGCCAAAGAAGGAGTCTGAATGCCTAGGATCAGCTTCTCAAGGTTGTTTATTCTTCCTTATCTATAACATTTTCTCTGACCTGTTGAGTTCTGTCGAGCAGGTCGGCCGTGGCATTCTGTCCCCAGTCCCAGGTGGCGTTTACATTATATACTAAAAGCTACATGTATTATGTTTGCAATAATGTGCCAATATCTATCATTTATGTTAGGCAGTGTGTCTGTACCTTAAACCAATAGAAAAGTGCCACCATCACACCAAGACATGGAGGACAAGAAGAAGGAGAAGAAGGTCAGGGCATGACCAAATTCCTCCATCTTGACCCCTCAATCCTAGTCTAAAAATCCCAAAATTCTACTTTTTCATCTGTGTTAATTCAATTATCACATTACTCAAACCACTGTGGCTTGTAATTCCTCATACAAAATTGGCAGCTTTTTCCATGGGCTAAAATCAAAGCCACAGGTGTTTTTTTACTTTGTGCCAGGGTTTGGAGACAGCCAGGGCAGACAGGGGGATGTCCTGGACTCCGATAATGTCTAATTATTCCCAGTGTTAATTTTTGTGATTAATGGTATGGAATGGGTCTGCCTGTTCTGGGGCAGGATGTTGTAGGCGATGGTGCTTTTGTCACTGGAGTTCCCCAGCTGAGCTGGGGTGCTGGCACTGGCAGGGCTGGTGTGCCCTCCTCCCTCGATGACTGTTCTGCTGATGAGCTTCAGTGTTGGGAGCTGACTCATTCAAGAAATACTCTTCTGAGTAATCAAAACCATTTGGGCTTCTCAGAACAAAAAACCAGAAGTTTGCTGAGGATGTAGATGTGTTCTTGTTAGATGCTTATCTAACTGTGGCTTTGTAAAAAGAATCCTGTGTAAAAAAACTCATGCAGTTGGGTTTTTTCCCCTTTATCTTATGGTGCATTCAAGGCATCTCTTTCCTCTTTGTACCTTTAGTCTCTTCTATTCTATGTGAAATTATTTGCACCACTTATGATGCTCCTGTTATTTGTGCATGTCCTTACTGATGTTTTTTCTGTCTAAAATGTTGAATCCTTTCTCTCCAAGATTCTGTGCAGCTGCTGTGAACATTAGGAGAAGTTAATAGAAGAAAAATATGCTTTACAAGAGTAGAGATGACCCTGTGAGTGGGGAAAGGTGTCCATTAAGAACAGGAACTTTGGCCATGCTGTCAAGCCAGTGGACACTATCAGTGTGTGAATGCTTTGTCCTACAACACTTAGGCACTTATTGCTGTCCTTTAAGATACTATTATTTAAAATATAACCGGTGGTGAATGTAAGAATTGAACATTCTTCTCCAAAGCAATTGCTGGCATTAAAACAGGAATGATAGGTAATAGTTATTTCCTGAAAGAA